TGCAGAACGAAAGCGTATTCAAACAAAACATACTGACTTTGAAGTGCTTTAAGCCAAAAGCATTTTAAAGTAAGTGAAATCAAATGCAGAGTCGGATAAATGACTGCCTGTTAGGATATGGCCATCTTAAATAAATGAGTTCGTTGCAGGGGAAAAAGTGAGAATGAGATTATAAATTACTTTCATATTAATTTAATTTCCTGCAGGGTTGCTACAAACAGTATCTTTGTTTGCATGCATGAAGTGAAATATTAAAAGAAAAAAATAATGTTTTGGGTCGTCGCATTCCTATTACTTTTCCATATCGTAAACTGATCAGAGTTACACAGTTGCATGACAAAATTGTTGTAGTGTAACATTGCAGCTGAATGACAACACAGTAATGGATATTTCGAAATATTCGGTTCATTACCAATACATATCCAATCCATACATATGCATGTACATATGTATGTGAGTATGAAAATGATGTGGAGTTTAAGGTGTAATGCCTGCCTAGTAGCAGAAGCTTCTTTACTACGCTCTCTGTAATTTCAGATGCGTGTGTGGCTAATTGCATAAAGCCAGCGACTGATAGCACCATTGAAGGTTTGTAAATTGACACATCGCATTGGAGTTACTTATTTACTGCACTGATAGCTTATGCCGTTGAAGATACACATAAATCGTTTGCCATGCACTACAGAATAATAAATATTTGAATATGCTTTAGTAATATATATATAAATAAGGCATTAAATGCATAAATAAATAAGTTGAACGTTTTTGTTTGACGTATTTACTTGTGCATTGGCATTTTCATGAATTAAATATATGCAAGCGAACACTCCCTGTCAGGAATTGACTGAGAATTGTCGATCGCCATGTGATTTTTATATTCAACTACTGGCCCGCGAAATCTCAAAAAAAGTATTTTCCAGGGGTCTTTTGCACCACGTTTCGTTAAGTTTAACTAACAGTTAAACATCGCTATCGCATATCTTACGAACCAATTGAACAATCGTAATACGAAATACGGCAAATGAAAGCCAATGAAATTCTCCATAAACCGTATATACATCATTTTTCGAGAGGCCTGAGTGCTTCTGAGAAAATAATAATTATTATTTAAAACTTTCGAATAATAGTACTTGTTTTTATCAATAAATAACTATAAAATATACATACACACATGATTAAAAATTTTTAATACAAATTTAACCATTAAAGTCATAACTGTTCCGGTGTCTGTCCGTAACTTCAAAATTTTTTTCCACAACCATTCAAGTTTCTTGTAGGGTATGCTCATACATAAATACAACCGCTAAATGTACATACATATGTATGTGTCTATGCATATTTTTTCTATGACAGGTTTAGAGCAAGAAATATCTCTCCCAAAAAATCTTCTTTTTTTCGTTTTTTTTTATGAAAGGTGGATTTTATCAGTTGCCTTACAGGTATGTAGATCGTTTGTCAGGGCGAATATTTTAAAAGAAAGGCACAAAATATATAATGCACAATGCTTGTATTGATATCGCTGCTGTTGGTATTCCAATGGTGAAAGCGTTGTTGGCCAGCATACATATGTAGACATCTGTGCTATCTTGGTATTTCTGCTCTCTGCACATCTTTATGTCTTTCCATAGATATGCGCATACTAATGTACATAGACGTTTTTCTGCTTGAAAGGTAATGCAATAATGATAACTCGCATTTGTTATAAAGAAAATTCGTTTATCAGTCTCAAGTACTCGTACCAATGTGTTCATAACAGTATTTGCTCCGACAACAGTTTGCTTTTATGTCTTACATACTGCGTGAGGCTAAGTAAATACAACCATACTTTTTAATGCAATGCCAGCTAGTACATTCTTTTAAATTTTAATGCCACTAGAATGTTCCAGTTAGATCTCAAAGGTATTTTTCTCCAAAAAGACTTAAAAATTAATGGGGGTCTTCATATGAAGTGATAAACTGCTGATAAACTTGATAAAATGATAAATTTGACAAATATTATGTATATAGCAGTCTATTTCACCAAAGTTTATCACTTTATCAAATGGTTTTGTTGGATAAATTTATAAATTTCTGCAAAATTCTACCCAATGGTCGAGGTAAGAATAAAACGTAACTAGCCATATAAATTAAATAATAAACAATTTTGTACCATATTTACCAAGGTGCGTTCATGATGACTTTAGATGAAGACCCCTAATGTATTTAGCTGTAATCAATCAATAAAATTATATTAGAGGCAGATATGCATGCTTGTAGGTACATACAAAATTTTACATACATTAGGTCGGAGCACAACGCATAACATTTTTTTTTGCACAGAAAACATTCTAACTCAAGACATGTAAATTGTGAGAAAAAAATTTAATTTTTCTTCAATTAATAACTCAAAAAAATTTCAGAAGTTTGCCCGATTTAATTGTTAAAACAAAATGATAAAATAGCCTGCATAGTAGGCCAACCAGAGCACTAATAAAATATGTTTTTTTAAAGGGGCATTCTCTGAGTCTTGCAAAGCCCTTGCATGGTGTACGGATTGCACGGTTTGCAAACCCGTCCCATAGGAAAACCGGTTTTTACCGTGCAATTTGTGCACCGCGCAAGGGCTTTGCAAGACTCAGAGAATACCCCTCATGTGGTTCTTATAGCACACGGAAAGTTGCATTCATGCGCTGCCATTCACGTATAAATACATACATACAAATATATATTAGGGACATACATATGGATGTATGTACATCTTTGGCGCAACACACTTCCAGGAATTTCTTCAACTCAATGCACCGCAGGTATTTCTACAAGAATACTTGCATATGTACACGTATTCATATGTACAAACATATATGTATGCACATATATACATACTTACCAAGTTGGTTCAAAAACAAAACAAAACCCTTTTGAGACGAGTTCTTTCGTTAGGTGAGATACAATCGCAGCAAATAAGATGAAAAGCGCAGAGTGGAATCATAGATAATGAAGATGGTTATTGGTGAAGTTGCCACTGTTTTAAAATAAGTAATACTACTTCTTGCCACCGTAATTCTAAATGCATCGGAAGTACTTTCCATGCATTTAGCAATTAACCAATGATTTTTGAAGAAATGAAGGTATTGCATAAGGGGTAGTAGAATTAACCAGCTAAGAGAGTGCAAAGAATCTGAGAAGGACGTAAAAGTCGCGATTAACTTTACATATTTATGTACATATCGAAAATATATTGCATAGACCTGGGGGCCAATTCTGGTTCTTTGAAATGATGAAATTCAAATTTAGTGAAAATTAAAATTTTTAATTTCATTAAGAGTCTTCGTGTGATACTTGTTTTCGTTCATCGCAATACCAACCAGTTTTGCCTCTTAATGCAAGTTGTAGAATGTTGCGCTAACGACGCTAGTCGTGAGGCCGGTGCTGTCAATATCATTTGGATTAGAGCTGGAAAACTATCGATGGTCATAGAACTAATTCTATATAACAAAACTATTAAACTTTTAATAGTGGTTCACTTAGTGGTCCAATTTGGCCGAAAAGTTTGATTAAATGGCCTTCGAATTGCGTTACGTTCTGATGGAGTGGAAGAAATGTCAGTAGTGCTGCTCCCTGCCAAATCGCTTTCAATTTCTCGAGAAATAGTATTTGCATCCAAAGAAGTCATATAACTTTTCCATAAAAATTTATTGTTCAACACAAACTCTAATGCCGTCTTGAGATGTACGTCTTGTGTGTACATATCTACTAAAAATATGTCAAAAAATAAAATCAGGTAATTTGTAGGTAAATTCTGATCGCTTAAAATCTAAGTGATTTTGTCAAAGAGGAAGTGCAGAAATGTTGGCCATAATAGTGAAGTGAAAAACTTCGATCGTAGTAAAACGGCAACACTGGTCCCAGTTCGAATTGAACCGTATTAGAGATCCCGTATAGAAAGTGTGTACATATATTTACTTATCCAACATCTTTCCAGAATTTGCCGAACTGTGAAATATGGTAAATTTAGGATTTGCTAGGTGCAAGCCAATCAGTCCGGAGTAATATATTTTCATATTTAGAGGATTTTTATCTTTGGAAATCTTTTCTTAGTCTTGGCTTGATTACAGCTCAGATTAGAGTCTAGGCTGGAGGATTGCTAATCTAATACCTTTCTGGGATCTTCGGAGGCGCTACGCGTTAAAACTGTAAAACCATACAGTATTACCATCCGTGCATTAGTAAATACTTAACCATATTTAAATTTACAATTTCGACATTTTCGTTTTTTTTTTTGAACCAGCCTAATGTACAAAAATGTAAATTTTATCTAATTTTTTTCTTAATACATCTGGTAGCATTCTCTCAAACTCAGATTATAACATTTTTTCAAGCATTTGGCATCGCTGCCTTTACGTCAACCCAAATCCTGTTCCTGCAACACATTTGTGTTTTGTATGTATGTTCATATGAATTACAGGTAACAAACTCATGCACATGCATGTAGCTAATAATGATAGTAGCAGCATGCAATAGTAGGACAGAGATGTCAAAAGCCACTCAAAATCCGCAAACACCTTTTTTAAAACACTCAACTCAAAAACTGGTCTAAAAATGAGTGGCTATCTACGATGTGCTTTCACAACTCAGAGCATCATAATTCAAAATGGGAGTAAGCGACAGTGTGATGTGGCGCGCATTGCAAATTGTCAAACTTGCATGAGAATTACTTGAGTGGATTGTAAAGCTAAGCTTACGCGCTTACCGAAGACGAATGGCTCCAAACTGGCTTGACACAGTGCGGCAGTGCTCGTTAGCAAAACGCGCAGATACTCACGCACACAAATGTAAACAAAAAACCGTGTGTTAATGTATGAGTGAGCAATGGCGCGCTGCTGGCAACAAAAACAGCACTAATACAGCCACAAGTCCGGACCACTACAACCACATGTCAATCAAGCCACTCGAGCGCTGGCAAACAACTCAAACTCCATGGAATGACGTGCTATGCCATCTGAATTAGTCTATCAGCTTGCCTTCGCATATACAATAAGGCATTTTTGTCGTCGTCGTCGTATCTTTGTATCAGCGCCCGGTGGTGCTCGCAATCAGCTAAACAGTTTTAATTTTCTATCCGAAGTGTACGCTGTGTGCCGCGGTGCAACGGCGTAGTTACTACATAGTACAAAGTGTGTTCAGACGGACAGACATACTTGGACCAAGCCAAGCCAAGCCAACCAAGAACAAGGGCAGGCAGACAGACAGGCCCCCCGCCGTATGAAGTGCAAGTGTGAATGTTTATCGTCGATATCCACAACAAGAATCAAAAAAAAACACACACACACACAGAGAATTATTGTTCAGTGAATATTAAAGCGATAATCTAAACAAATCCAACGACGTTGTCGCTTAATATTGGGAAGTGGTTGCCGCCGTGCGTGTGCGCTCGCCGCTGAAACGAAATTTGCAACCCTTCGAAAAAAATACTAGAAATAAAAGTTATTATGAAGTAAACAATAGTTTGTTGTGATAATTAAGAAATGTCGATATGCAAAAATGATCTGAGAACTGTTTGGATCAAATGTTGAAAGAACTCTGAATAAAAGCTTTGTTATGCGTGTGGAAACTGATTTCCGAAATTTACTACTGATCGTCACTGCCAGAGTAACAACGGCGAAAACCACAACAAATACGTGAAATCTTATGCAAAACCACAGCAACGCGAATGCTGTGTGTGAAAGTATAATTGGAAGGAAAGAGTAAAAAATCGTTAAATACAAAAGCAACTAAAAAAAAAAACAAAACATAACACAACAAACCGCATACCGCAAGCAAACGAGAGTACTCAATACACCAACGAAAGTATTACCAGCGCGTTTCCGTTACTGCCTCTTTCGAATCATTAAAATTGCACTTTCAACATTCCCGAAACAACAAGTCACTCGCTCGGTACGCGCGCCTGTGTCGCGAATCCTTTTTAAAAATATAACTTTAAACTTTACTGACTTTTATAAAATAAAAAATAGTATCTACGTTACGTTAATAAACCGACAAAATGTTTGATGTATTCGGCTCCGTCAAGGGGCTGCTGAAGATCGATCAAGTCTGCATCGACAACAATGTCTTCCGCATGCACTACAAAGCGACGGTGATCATATTGATTGCCTTCTCATTACTTGTCACGTCGCGTCAATACATTGGCGATCCCATCGATTGCATTGTCGATGAAATTCCGCTCGGTGTTATGGACACCTATTGCTGGATTTACTCCACATTTACTGTGCCCGAACGTTTGACGGGCATCACAGGACGTGATGTGGTACAACCGGGCGTCGGCTCACATATAGATGGCGTGGATGAAGTTAAGTACCACAAATACTATCAGTGGGTGTGCTTCGTGCTCTTCTTTCAGGCCATACTATTCTATGTGCCGCGCTATCTATGGAAATCGTGGGAAGGTGGACGCCTAAAGATGCTTGTTATGGATCTCAATAGCCCGATTGTGAATGATGAGTGTAAGAATGATCGCAAGAAGATACTTGTCGAGTATTTTATGGGTAATCTGAATCGGCATAATTTCTATGCTTTCCGTTTCTTCGTTTGTGAGGCGCTAAACTTTGTTAATGTTATTGGCCAAATATTTTTTGTGGACTTCTTTTTGGATGGTGAATTCTCCACATACGGTAGTGATGTATTGAAATTCACCGAAATGGAACCAGATGAACGTATCGATCCGATGGCGCGTGTCTTTCCGAAAGTCACCAAATGCACATTCCACAAATACGGTCCATCTGGTTCGGTGCAAAAGTTCGACGGTCTCTGTGTGTTGCCATTGAATATTGTGAATGAGAAAATCTACGTATTCCTGTGGTTTTGGTTCATCATCTTGAGCATATTGTCGGGCATATCGTTGGTCTATCGCATGGCTGTTATAATTGGTCCCAAACTACGTCATCTGTTGTTGCGCGCACGTTCCCGTCTGGCCGAGAGCGAAGAGGTTGAAGCGGTGGCAAATAAATGCAATATTGGCGATTGGTTCCTGCTGTATCAGCTGGGCAAGAATATCGATCCATTGATCTACAAGGAGGTGATAGCGGATTTGGCGCGCGAATTGGGCGAACACCCGAGCAGCAAGCAACCATTCGAAGCTTAGTGGTCGCAAATGGGTAGGTAAGCGGGTGGAGCGAGAAGTGATAGAAATAAGAATATTAGATACGTATCTTTGTGAAAATATTTACTGGTATGTCGCGAAAGAAAGAACGCAAGTTATAGTATTTCGTCTCGAATAAGCATAAGGATCTCTTAGCAACCTAGCATTTATATTAGCGAATTTGCATATGTAGTGTACAGACTTTAGTAATTTTTAATTATTTTGAAATTAAACTTTAAAGTAAAAAAAGTAAAATATAACACCATTGGCGTGTTCGCTTATGAGTTTCCAATTTTTATACTGGCATGTAAAATTTTGTAAGAAATTTTGCATGGAGTATTTCATTGTTCGCATATAAAGAAAATCCGTTTAAAAAGTGACAGCATCTGGACGCCACACCCACTTTTCTATATATATGTGAGCTTAAGTTAGAACTTCTTTTATATTTTACAATAAGGGCAATAGTCACAGGCCTCAAAATTCACATTGGACCGACACCCGAACCAACCTGTTAGGTTCAAGTATTTGTGTTTATTCCTAAAGTCTCCATCAAGATTTTTTTATTGTAAAAGGGTGTTTCATTAGTCGTGTCGAACTATAAATTGAAATAAAATAATTTTAAACGCAAATTTATTTTACTTTTCTTATTTGGCGCTGTAACGTCTAAGCAATTTTGCACGCCAGTCGTTTCTCTTCTGTGCCAACTGACGCCAATTGGAAATGCCACGTGAAGCCAAATTCTTCTCCACTTGGTCTTTTCAACGCAGAGAAGGCCTTCCTCTCTTCTTCTGCTACCACCAGCGGCTTCCGAGTTGAATAATTTCACAGCTGGAGCGTCGGTGTCTATTAGCCACACATGACCAAGCTAGCGGGCCGCTGTATTTTAATTCGATATAGATCCATCGCTATTGCGAATGCATAAAGACCCGTAAATCTTCCGCAGAATGTTTTTCTCGAATACTCCAAGAGTCGCCTCATCGGATGTTGTCATTGTCCATGCTTCCGCGTCATATACCAGCACGGGCATGATGTGTGTTGGGTCACACAAATATCAAAAGTAGTACTTGTTGGCAAGAGTAATTCTGCGTTGGATTTCGATGCTGGCATTATTATCGGCGTTAATGCTGGTTCCCAAGTAAACGAAATTCTCTACATTCTCGAAATTATAACTCTCAATAGTGACGTGAGTGCCAAGGCGTTAATTAGAAAGATAATTTTATGCCATTAGTATTTGATGGTATATGATTGTGGGCACGTGTCCGCGTCTGGCTTGGAAGTGTGGCATTCTGGAAGGTTTAATATCCGATCACTTTTTTAAGCAATGGGGGCCGTAGCATGGCAAGGGATCGTACAGTGTTGTTTTTCAAGACGTCCAAGATAATCCGTTTAATCGTACGATCTTGGTTTCCAATTGTTGCGTCCATTTCTAGAAATAGTCCCTTCAACAAAAATTTTCTTACAATAAGTCGATTGTCCGATGAGCTGTAGAGCATGTGGCGCCGTCCTTTTGCCAGATCTGCCCGATTTGTGATCGGTTTATGGGCAAATCAACTTTAGTAAGGCTTGGTATATCGCGCTTTTTAATCGGGATGGTCACTTTTACACCGGTCGTCCTGGATTTGACCAACAAACGTGTTGCTCAGTCAAATTTGAAGAGCCACCGTGTTTGACGCAAAATGATTACAGATTAGACCGACGCCAAAATAACACCTCCAGCTCAGGATGCCAACATCGAACCATCGTAGTTGAAAATCCCAGAGGTAGGTTTAAGGGAGAAATTAAAAATAAATTGCTATACATTCCGTGCACTTTTTCTTAAGACCACTCATGAACCATAACCAATAAGAGGATATTTTAAAGAGAATGTAGGCGAGTTAGACATTTCGTAGAGTTCGTTTATAGGGTAAATAGTTTATGGCGTCGGCAACAAATCAAGGCGAATTCATAGAAGATTGTAGCGATAGTACACAAATATAAATTAAAAATAAAACAAATAAAAATGACTTTCTCAATCGCGCACTTTAACGAAAATAATATCCTTTATGTGCCATGTAGGACTCCCAATATCCGTATATTCAGATTTTCGGATCTTCGTGTCTGCAGATAAAATCCGGATATAGGGATTTTCGGTTACTATCCATTCATTTTGTTATCCGGATTTTGCAAAATAAATAGTAGAAACCTCATTAATTTACAAACAATACGCCACCCAATGGTGAAAAGTTGCCAAGTCCACGTTTTTTTTTTTCAAAATTTAGTTTTTGATAAAGAATGACAGAGTTGATGAGAAACTACATCGATTTTTCGTCTCTACTGAAGCATTTAAAAAAATGGACTTGGTACCTTTTCACGTTTAGGTATCGAATTGTTATTTTATTTTTAGTTTTTAGTTTTCCAATATCTGGATATTTATATACTATTCGGATAGCCAAAAAATTCGGATAGAACTCCTAGCCCTAGCATCAAAGCAACTAAAATCAGCTGCCCTCGTAACAGCACCGTTCCCCAACTTTTCTGGGTTAAAACCTGTAAAACTGTCAAAAGGCAGAAGAAGCCAGAGAACCGAGTACGGGAACGCTTTCTGGAAAATTCCTGTCAATTCTTGCAACTTCTTGCGAGTTAGGGAACGCAACTATTATTTTTTTTAACTTTTTGAACATATGCACATGCATATGAAATTGAAATTTCCATATCATTCATAACCCAGCCAGCAAAAAATCAGAAAATCGATTCCATTTTCGGATACTTTGACGATTCGTTTTTCCACTATAGGGTGCGACAGAAACGTATGTACAGGCACGTACCGAAACTTGTTGTGAAACGGAGACGTTTTTCGCTGGTTTTCTGTAATTAGTATGATTCAAATTTTCGTTCAATACGCTTTCCTTCTGCATTTCTCAGATGCTTTTTCATGGCGCATTTCCGCGTTTTTTTACGTTTTTGGTTACGTGAATGAACGAAAATTGTAGTCGTTTTTTTTCGTTTCCGGATACAGAAAATTGTACGGCAAAATACATTTCTCTGCTGGCTGGGAATAGCTCGATAATCCGCCGGCCGACACATGCCTAAAATCGAAATATGTAACCACACAGCTATCCACAAGTGGGCATTTTTATAAGCTTTTTTTTAGTACTCTATTCGTGGTCAAACAGCGAGTAAGCAAATATTACTAAAAAATAAAAATAAACTCCAAAAATAAATATGTATGTATGTTCATAAATGTGCTCAATTATTTCCAATTGCGCTAAAGAGTACATCCATACATACATGCGCCAGAATATTATATGTGACACTAACACAATTAAAGTGTGTTACGCTGCATGCACACAATGATAATTACAGAGACAAAAGAGTCACCCCTGGTGTTACGCAAAACGCCAACGCTCTCCAAGTGCATGCTGGTCAACTCCGGTGAGCGATAATTTCTGGTAGAAGAGGACTGAGCGTGTGCTTGCGGGTTAAACTGCTGTTGAGAATTGTGGTGCTCATATAGTATTTGAGTGGTGAACAGTAGTGAACGAGCGCCTTTTCACGTCAGCTGCCACTTCACTCGAAATAATTATTTGCAAAAATTTACTGTTTGGTAATTTAATGTTGGAAAATATTTTTTTATTTTTATTTTTTACACATTTATTAAAACAAGAGATTGTTGTTGCTCTTTATTACTTTATTGTTTTCATTGCTTTTATGCAACGTGCTTTTCTTTTGCCGCTCATGCACTTTGGCCTCTCACGTCAGCGCCGTGATGCATGCTTCCTGCATAACCACCGCCACCGTCACCGTCACCGTCACCGCCATCGCCATCGCAACCATTACCCGCATCTCAGCTATCAGCTGCTGCTTATATCGCTTCGGTTGTATACCACATCGCAGTGTTGATTGGGAAACTTGCAAGTACTAATGCGCTGCAATAATCGCCGCCGCTCATGCGCACAAAGGCGATGATTTTTTGCTTTGCACAATAATGGCTGCTGCTTGCTGCCTTGGCGCACTGAACCCTATCAATATTACCTACCGACTTACCCGCACGCTTGACTACTTACTACATACTTATGTATGTATACCAGCAGCAGCACCAGAAGCAGATTGATACGCAGCAGTAGTGACTGACGGTTGTTGCAATTGCAACTTTTATTTTCAAGCTGATGCTCACGCTTTGCCTAAATTACATCAAGCAATTTTGACTTTATTGGAAGCACTTACATAGTTGCATGCCTGTAAGTTTTTACAAAGTAAAGGTGTGCATGCATACATATGTACTTACATACATATGCAAACACATATATATACATACATATGTATGTATGGTTCGTAAGAGTACTTGTTTTCTATAGCCTTTTGTCTTCGCCGGGCA